GTAACTGGAAATCTATAGGGACAGAGGGGAAGAGTAACACCCTAAACCTATATATATATATATATATATATTCTATTTGTATAAAATATAAATCTAAAAATAAATATAGAAAATATAAAATAAATATAAAATTCTTAACCGTTCAAGGTTTAAGCTAAGGTACATTATTTGTCACATACATACTGATATTTACATACATCTGATAGATTGTTAATTCCTGTGCAACTACAAACAGAAACAACAAAGACTTGTGGACATACACACTCATAATAGAAAATATAATATAATATATATATATAATAAACTATTAAGAAATTTGTGAATAAAGTAGAAAAAAGAATATAGAATTTAGTAGGGGAAATATAAATATAAAATGTTATATAAAGGTAGTATATAAATAATAAAATAATAATAAAGACTAAAAACATTTTTATATCGTTTAGAACTTTCGTTGAAGTTTAGTACTTCAACTAGGGTAGACTTTAGTGAACAAAAGTACTGTACGTTACATAGAAGTGAACAAGAGTCAGTACACGGAAGTGAACGAAATGATTCGTTCACCTAAAAGATTCCTTCAAAAACACCGGGATTCTTTCAAGAACGAACGAAAAATTCGCGCATGCGCACACATTTCAGTTGTCAAACGGTGGTTATGGAGATAAACGTAGGCAACTGCTGTACTTGGGTAAACGACGTATTTATCGAGATTTTATCTGCCAAATAGTGAATATTAGTACTACTCTAAGAATGAGTGTTTCTGAGCTTTATCTGTTTAACGTGTTGTTTGTGATTAAGCTCCTTATCGCTGTTTGAGATGAGTTGTAACCGTAATGTTACTGTTTAGTTAACGTTAGCCAGATTACACGCTAACGCTACATTCTTTACACAACAATCCTAATTATGACTAAAGTTCTTCATAATAAGCAGCAAACCTCTGAATACATATGCGATATTTAAGTGTAGACTTCACTGAAATTACAGTGTTACAACAAGTAGCTGCCAATGTGGTAACTTAATGGAGTAAAATAGATATATACCTCTAAGGATACATCATAAGCGACATATTACTCTCATGTAAAGGAATGTTGCCAAATTACAGGTTCTTTCTATATGTTTTATGTTTGAGTGCTGGTGCTTTGTGAAATTAAACATCATGTATTGTTCATATCCTACATTCATCAGAGCTCAGGTACAGGATGCCTCATAAAATAGGCTTTACTGTGATCAGCTGGTCTGGTCATGAAGGAAACTACAGTGCCAAAAAGCTGATGGTCCATGCTCCCACTGTCATTGGCTGGAGATCCACCAGGTCAATGAATTTTATATTATTTATGTTACGATGTATTTAATATAATTTAGTTAGGATTGGTTTCGAAGACAAACTGTAGAAGTAGGATAATAATGATAAATAATTGATAACTATCAAGGCTATTTAATAGCTGATAATATTCACTTTAATAGCTGGTTATGGTTACTTTTTTACGAAAGATTACAGTTCTGAAATGCTTTTTAAGGAATATTGTTCTAATTATTGTGTATAGGTTCTGTCCATTCCCTCAGGAAATCATATTGCAGTTGGTTGAGAGATGTTGCATCAGGAAACTCCAGCTACTGGCCCATCAGTACCTGATCCCATCCAAGATCGAGTTCCACATTGGAGACAGACTGCCGGAGTCCAGCTCGCCCCAGCAGACTCATAATCTTCACAGATTGGGGTGAGGAAAGATTTTAGATCACTGCTTTGTTCTGGTCATTATCAACGTATAATGTGATTCAGTATATAACACCTAATCACATCTCATTAAGACACTTTTTTTCTGAACTAACTGTATTGAGTGTAATGTGTTGTCTAGGTATGTGTCTCTCTCTGACAACGAGAAGACTGGTTTCAGAGCCAGAGAGCTGAAGTCTGTTCATGTTGATGCTGTTGGGTCTTACTTGAAGCTTACCTTTCACAGAAACCATGTTAATCAATACAACAGCTACAATCAGGTACAAAGAGATTCATGTGGGGAATTAGGGTTGATTTGTTTATTGTAATCATATCAATGTCATATCACGTTCTTTCCGAAATTCTAGGTTGCATTGGTGGCCCTAAATATTTTGGGTGACCCTGTGGATGGAAATGAGATTGGGACAGCAGTAAGTAACTGTTCAGTTTATGGAATTGTTCTCTTCACATCCTCTAGATGGCGATGGTTTTCTGTTAAAGGGGGTCATATGATGCTGCTAAAAAGAACATTATTTTATGTATTTGGTGTAATGAAATGTGTTTATGCGGTTTAAGGTTCAAAAAAACATTCTTTTCCACATACTGTACATTATTGTTTCTCCTCTATGCCCCGCCTTTCTGAAACGCGTCGATTTTTACAAAGCTCATCGGTCTGAAAAGCGAGGTGTGCTCTGATTGGCCAGCTATCCAGTGCGTTGTGATTGGCTGAATACCTCAAGCATGTGACGGAAATGTTACGCCCCTCACCATACTGTGATGCCCTGTCAGGCCGGAGCGACGCTAGTCGTGTCCTCTTTTGGAAGGCCAAACAAAGTAGTTTCGCTTTCACAACGAAACACAGCGTCGTGAGCGGCGGTGGCCTAGAGTGAGAGGAGGCCGGCAGCTAGAGTGAGGAACGGCCGGCGGCCTAGAGTGAGCGGAGGCCGGCGGCTGGAGTGAGCAGCGGCGGGCGGGCG